CCATCCCTGGCAGTGTTCAGGGCCAGGCTGGACAGGGCTTGGAGCAAGCTGCTCTAGTGGAAGGTGTCACTGCCTGTAGCAGGGGGTTGGAACTGGATGAGCTTCCAACCCAAATGATTCTATGATAATTTAGGAGATGGATAATGACTAATGTTATGTACTAGAATGTAGTAGTTGGAATTGCTTAAAAAACACCTGAAAACATCACTGAAAGGATGAATTTGCTACCAGTGAACACTCACAGAAGTTTGATACTAATCTGTTTAGAAAGAAACAATTTACTCTGTATTAGGTTCACTGCGGAACCACAGAAAAATATTATGAACTAGGGGAAAAACACACATTGAGACAAAGTAAACCTTTAGACAGCATGTCCTCATGCACCTTTCATGATTCAATTTACAAGCAAGCCCTCAATTTGAATTCAAATTACATTTCAGTAGTGACATAGGATACAAAAATCAATGGTGGAGAACTGGCAGTCAAGTATTCATGCTTTTCTGCAAAAACCTCTCAGAATCTAAACAACAAATGTACTTTTTTTTTAATTAAAATATTAGAACCCCTTTAAAGTCACTTTCTTACCCCCTTCTGCAAAGACAGGAGACTCAATTAAGCAACAGTTTCAGCAGGGGTTCCCAAGATCCTTCAGAAGGTAATAAAAAAACCACAGCATCAAACCGCCACACTGCATTAGAATTTGACCTTTTTTTTCCTGATGAAGCTTGTTCAAGGTTGCCTAGAATACTGCTAAAATGTCCTGTTGTACGAAAACAATTTGTAGCATAGTCTGTCACCTCTCTGCTACAGGCACAATATGAAAAATCTGTTAAAGCCTGTAACAACACTGGGCTTTTCAGTCACAAAACTTGAAGCAAAAGCTCGCTTTATATGACTGCAGTAAATCCATTTTTACACATAGCACTGTCCACTGGAACTTACTGACCTCTGTAATATCCACTTACAAGGGAGAGTGAAGCCCAGTGCACACTGTTGTACAGGATGTTCTCCACCAGCACTCAAGCTCAACCCACACTCTGAAAGCTCAGCAGAACATGCATTATGAGAACACAATTTTCATTGAAAGGGGTGTGGCATTGTGTAAATGACTTTGTAGAAATCCTCAGCTCATGCAATGCTCCATTTAAAACGTGTAACCCATTAAATAAATCTGCTAACAGATCTAATCCAAACATGATCTGAAAGACAACTAACATACTACACATTTAAGACTAAGTCTTTGCATTGACACAAAAACATCCTCTCAGAGACTCTGAAAACTAAAGTAAACATAAGAATGTGCATGTTTTGGGTTTTAATTAAAGTAGCAAAGAAATGACACTACAAAATTCTATATATTCTCCATGTTCTAGAAGGATCACAAACGAGAAAGAGGTTCACTCCAAATAATGTGCTTTTCCTCAAACGGGGGGGGTAAATTGGAAAAAAACCCAGAAGTTTAGGTCTCTTGAATACTGGTAAATACATTATACTATAGACCAAATTATACCAGTATACTCAATATACCACAGCATTTCAACAAAGCCTGTGAATATCACACACTTATGAACAGTTGCTCTACCTTTTTGATAACTCTATTACTTGAGTTCAGAGAAGGTTTACGGACTAGAAAGCCTCAGACATGGTCATGAATGTTTGATGCCTTCACATACACTGTTACTGCTGTTAACGTCACTCCCTGCTGGAATTCGTACATACGGACAGCCTGTGGTCATTACAGGCCAATGGGAGCAGTCTGAGTATTAAAATTACGTACCTCCTACACTACTGGATTATTTTTCACACTGGAATTGGTACTAACTCATTCAGCATGTTTCTCAGAGGAAAGGTATGGTCTTGGAAATTGCAAAAGAAACTACCAGCTATCAGTGTTTGTACAATGCCTAAAATCAAGCCTGTTACTGTGAGGTACCTTCGGCTTTTTTACAGTCTATTTAGAAAGACTGAGAAATGGACAAATTCCAAAGCCACACAGGGTTACTGTAGTAGGGCAAGAAATTTGACATATATGTCTTTGTCATACTGACGAGAGTAGTTCAGCAGACCAGTGGGTTATACTTGTTACAGTACTTCTGTAATGCTCAAGTGCAAGTCTATATACAACTAATCCTCACTACCGAAGCACTGAGGAATGCTTTACCCCTTAACCTCTCTCTCACAGTGCAGAAACACCCCACACAAGTGTCAAAAACTGTTTGCCTCCCTTTTTCTTTCTCCTACCAAATTTCATTCCCTCATTCACATTTCCAAGCCCTACTCCTTCCACTTCCACAGATGAACAAGCCAGGAGACAGAGAAGCAAATTCCCAAATTGTAACTTCCAAAACAATATGCTGTGAGAACAACAAAGGAATGAACAGAAACAGCTATCCAAATTCTAGTTGCAGTGGGGAACAAAAAAAGAGTGCTCCCAGAGGAATTAAATTCAGGAGCTTTTTACAACAGCTTTATCTCCCTCTCTGCATCTGCCAGGTCACACACTGCTTGTGCATCCTGCAGAGCAGTCGCTCTCAGCCCTAACAAGTGCTGACAGGGCCCAGCCCAATTATAACCAAGCAGCCCACAGGATTATTTTTTTTATTGCAACATTACCTTTAAAATGCTTCAGTCACATTTTTGTCACCGCAACAGCAGTAGAGGCTTTTATTTCCTGTCCGTCCCGTCCCCCACCCCCAGTTTTGCTCTAAATTCTCTGCTCATTCTGCCATTTGAACAAGAGGAATGTTGATTTGCTGTCCTATTGGCACTTCAGAAAGGCCTCAGCTCCCTTCTTGTTCCAGTTTCAGCCAGATCCCAGCAGATTTTCCACCCCATCAAATAAAGGAACTGAAGAGGGATTGCACAGGGAACCAGCCAACACATCACTGCAGACACAACCAATGTTCTTCCCATTACCCATCATCTCTCCTTACATCCACTGGAACAGGAGGGAGGACCAAGAGGACCAGCAGCAGCCATACTGCTGCATCCTCAGCCATTTAAGCCGCAATAGCAGGGAATAGGTGAATCCCAAGTCTCTATTGTGGGCATCCCTCAAGGAGGATTTTTCTTTTATGAGCTTAGAATTAGATCATGCTGCATGGCTTCAGGGCAACTCTTTTTAAAATTCCTTTATTTTTATTTCATCCTGGGAGATACAAAATTACCACAGCACTTCATCTACCCAGCTCACCTTCTTCAATCTTAATACCAGACTGCAAGGATATTAAAACCCACTTATACAGAGGTCCAGAAAACACTGCTTGCACTTTAGCTTTATTCAGGCATTTGTCTGGTCATGGTTTTTAATCTCAAGTGGGACTGAAAAAACTTAACCAGATTAAAACAAACCAAACCTGCATTACCTGACTGCACAGGGCTGGATCCAACATCACAGGCTGGCACTGCCCACATCCAGCACAGGCTATTGAGAAAGACACCCCAAACAAAACCACCCCTGAAACTGACACCTTCAACAGCACCGACAAACACAAGCTTCCACGAAATAACACTGGATTTGTGGGGGGCTGCTGATGCAAAGGGTTAACCGATGTACAGGGGGTATAGGGTTAAGCCACTTGCTTAACAATGCTACTGCTTACTCAACAAATGTGTGCTCAACACTTACTGTGCTTGCTGGAACAGGGTGGGAGGACCAAGGCTATTGATAGGAGCCTTGGGGGCTCTCTGAACCCCTAAATCAGCTGAAATCAGCTTTGCAGTTTGGACAGTGACTAAATCACCAGGGAACATGCACAACGACTGGAGACGAAAAGTTCAGGGAAGACTCGTTTACTTCATCTTGAGACCCTCGCCCACGACCACCAGGAGACACTACACAACCAAGGACCTTTTACCTCATTATCATATGAAGCGGGGATAGGTCATGACTATGTATAGGCATGCTGCGTAACCTCATAAATATGTAATAGTTTAGAGGATAAATATGAAGGAGAACAATACTGAGGTGCGCATGCCTTTGGAGGAGCAATCCCCCATGTGCCTCAGCACTGAATAAAGCATACCTACTTTACAGCTTTAAGGAGTTGTGGAGTCTACCCGCGTATCATTGCGGCAAGCAAACGGACTTGGCTGGGTTACCATTAGTGAAAGGGTCTCTGTAAGGTACACGTACACAGGGAGCAGATGGACACCGATACACCCGGGGCTGGACCTGCCAGAGGTCATGTTGGCTTTAAACCCTCCTCCTCCTGTAACTGATGCAGTTTCATGCAGTGAATTAACAACACAACCCCTCAACACAGTCTCTGAACTGCAAAGTGCAGCTTCAAAAACACTCTGGGTGACTTCTGAACTCAAAATCTCGACCTTCTCCCTTTCGCTGCCAAATTCCCACCTCATAAAATTAAGCCTCAATTAAAGCAATTGCTTCTTCTAAACGAGTATTGCTCCCCTGAACTAATCTTCCCATAAAGGCCATTTTATTTACGCTTTTAACGTAACAATTATTTTCTTTTCCATAGGAATTCACCACACTTTATAGTCACTGGAGTCACATTATCCCAGTTAATGGCTCCTGCTTGGAACTCGCTTTTCAAATCACCAAGGTCAAAACCCAATCACACTGTCACTAATGCTATGACCAATAAACACGTTTGCTTTGGGCTCTCCCCTCATGCATTCTATTACAGAATTGAAAAGAGGACTGTTAAGGCAAAGTTCCCTTTTCCTTCCACACCAACAGGCTTGGATTTGAAAAGGGACCACCTTTTAAGCCAAAAAAAGTTAAATTTGCTTATTGAATACTTAAAAAACGCCCACAAACCGATCCTGGACCATAAAAGACGGTATATTACATTATAAATATAAATAAAGACGCGTATGTGCCATTAAACGTTGCTTACCGCTTCCCCCCCTCAGCTCCGTGACCTTCCAGAGCCGTTGGCTCAGCCCCCTCAGCCCTTAACGGCCCCTAACGGCCCTCAGCGGCTCGCGGGCGCTAGCATCGGCGGCAGGGCACGCGGCCGGCCGCGTTTTAAGGTCAGAATACATTAAATCATCTTCTTTGGGGCTTTATTTTTCTCTCTCCCCCTCATCTCTGCGGGACCAGCCCTAAGGAGGAGCCGAGCCCCGCGGGGGTTCGCCGCCTCAGGAACAGCTTCGTGGCTGAGGGAGGCCAGTCCTCACCCGGGGTCGGCGGCCATCATGGCTCCCTAAAGAACCGCCACCACACGGTGTGGCCCAAAAGCAATCCAGACGGAGCTCAAGAGCAGCACCTTCTGCTTTCAGTAGAAAGAAGGCAAAATAAGGATTTGTACCTACCCTTCCCGTCTCGCCTCCTTTCTGCTGCACGCGGCCACGGCAGCAAGCCCGAACTGCATGAATCCTTTACGATGAGCACCAGTTTTCGTCATGGAACCTTCTCCTCACACCGAGCTGTGTGCCTGGGATACGGGAGAGAAGGATACCGCCCTCACTGCCACAGGTGAGCCCCTTAATGAGTGCTAATGAGGCGGTGATGAGCACAGAGGAGGCCTCATCACCTGGTACCCAGCGCAGGTGCTTATTGTTGCCATCCCTATGGCTTGTTAGGAACTGGCATGGGCAGTGGCGGCCTGTAAATGTCCACAAACCCTTCCCCTATCAGACTAACCCCTTTTCTAAGATCCATTTTATCTTCTATAATCGCAGAAATCTGAGTGCTCCTGGAGTAACGCCCTCTTTTAAATACCAGGAGATGCAGAATAGAGCTCCATATTCCAGGTGGTGCCTAATGTGGAGTATATTATCAAAAAATGCAAAAAAACGCACCCTAAATAAAAACACAACCACCCAACTATCAGCTCCCTGTATGCCATCTGTTCAGGGCTGTGCTTATTCCATAGGGGGTTACAGAATTGTGTGCAGAAACTGTGTGATTCTCTTATTAAGACAGTTTGATGTAAGAATGTAAGTGCATCTGCTGCGTGCAGAGCTTTAAGAGTTAAATTAATCTGGTATACATTTTAAGTAACAGCAGTTTAGCACCTTACTGTGCTATTGATCCTATTTTCTTCAAGGAAGTTCCATAAATGGTATTTTTTTTTAGCACTGTGGGAGTCTTTTATTACTGCTGTAATGCAAATCAAGCAGTTATGATCACCACAGACTGATCTTGCTCTTTAGAGATTGAAGCCCCAGGGACAGAATTATCTTCTGATGAATTCGACCAAATGGATTTTGAGGACTTTGATGATGTTGCTTGTGGGTGTATGTGTGTGCATGTGCCACTTTTCTCTGTCAGAATTTACATTAAGACAAATGAAGAACGAAAAAGAAAAACAGGATTGTGGATATAGTTGTGTCAGTATAAACATACTTTATAATTAGATAGCTATTACCATAGAGTAAGGGAAGAACTAAACCAGTATAAATCACTTTTATACTAACTTGATTGCATCCACCAAGGACTTCATAGTAGCATAACTCTTCTATAAAAAAAAACCAGACCCGTTACCAACATTATTATTCCAGTAAAATGTAAATGCAGACTAGGCCTTAGATACCAATTAAACTGCAGTTGACAGAAATGTTATTGTCTAAATAGAATAAATGTAACAGAACAAAGAGCAAGATAAATAATGAAGAAATAATAGAAACAGATATCTGATATTGTTGAATTGTCCAAGGAGAAGATTTGAAGGGAAATTATTTTATAAATCATTTAAGGGACTTCTTTGCTAAGAGGATGCTAGTAGTTTGGAACCTTAAATGTAAAGCAGCTGAAATGGATTCTTACAGTCTTTTATGTATATATCTATATATATAGATATATCTTTGTGAGTCACTCTGAAAATGGACCTCTAGAGCCAGATTCATCACTCGCCCACCAACCAAGTTCACTTCAGTGAATTACAGTTATTCCAAAAACTTCATGTAATTCCATTTCCTTTAGAACATGTGGCTACTCAGAACACCGAGTGATCTCTGGGAAGAAATCCATAATGAATTGAAATCTGTCCCTGATATTTTCTGTGAAAGAGCTTATTGCCCTTGTATGGTCCTTTAACAATTCCTAGGTTGCAGAGTATTTAAGGCAGAAGGACTCTGTATGCAGAGTCCATTAATTTCTTACTGTGCTCACCTTCAGGTTTCCCCACAAAACCTGATACATTGGTTCATGCTTTTTTTCCCATTTTCTCTTTCTTTCTGGTGGAACCACTGGACTTCTTCACAGCAAATAAGGGCAAGAAAAGGAGAGGGAAAGGGAGTAAAGGGAAGAGCATTAAAAGAGCCATGGAGAAGAACGTCAGTAAGATTTATGGGTCATATATTGCCACAGAAAGGCTGTAGATGGTAAGGAGCATGCTGTTTTGGCAGTAATTTATAGTTCCTTGCTATGACAGACTCCTAGACGGAAGATGAAAAAGGTGCTATTAAAGCAAAAGCAGGCTATCTAGAATGTTGTAAACAAGGATCTTCTTATCACAGCTGCTACAACCCGTTGATCATTGGCTGGGAAATTAGCAAAGCTGTAACCTTTTCCAGGTTCAGTCTGGGACCCTTAGAGTCAGAATTCATCTGGTTGTCTGCACCCCTTTACTGGTATGACTAAAGTGATGGAGCAGAATAAAGATGGTTTTGCTGCTTTGCTATTCCTCTGCAACAGGAATGAAAATAGACTGGTACAAATTACCTTTTAGTCTTCCATAACTAGGAAGATACAGATTTAATGTTTTAGTTAAAAACAAACTCAAACATCTTCTTTAAAAGAGCTGTACCAACACACTTTTTAAGGCTTGAGCTCTGAATTTGGCTGGGACATAGAGGTTATGAAATTCCAATGGGCATTCCCAGGATTTTTATGTTAAATTTAGTTTCCAAATTTCTAAAATCTTGCTGTGCTATTCAGAGAGCTGTCTCTAGTTCTAGGCTAAGCAGTTGTTTCTTGAAACATATCATAAACTAGAAAGAAGTTTAGTTCTTCAGAAGTGAAGTGAATCATGAAACTAAGACTGTTTCTTTTCCATGCTTTTCTTAGAGATTGACTTGCTCACATCTCAAGTAGGGTGCCCTAAAACTGTTCGGTGTCCTGAACTTCACAGTAATGACTTTCCAAGATGCCAGTCGCAGAGGAGCAGTTAGGTCTCCCAAAGCCCAGTCTGCTGTGCAAAACTCTTACCTATTAGGTTCTGCATACATCCTTGCATCTTTTTCACCACTGTTTGAAATGTACAGGCAATATCTCCCTAGATGTATTTGGAGCTTGGCCCTCCCAAATTTATTCCAGAAGTAGCACTTAAGCAGCTGTGGCTGTTGTTTGTTAGCAGATAAGCAGAGGATTTCCTTTCCAGGGAGTGTCAATCCAACATCTTTCTGCCAGCATGATGTTCACTTTAATTAAAGTACAAAGTTCTGACAAACTCTTTAACAATGGAAGCACTTGCAGGCAACTCTACTATTAAGTGAAAACCGTTGGCATGTCTCTACTGTTAATTATTATTACTACTATTAAATATTCAGTGCAGGGAACACATTTACAGTAGGGCTCTGTACTCTGCATCAGTCTGCAATTAAATTCCAAGAATAAGCACTACTACAGTGAAGATAAACTGTGTACACCCCCAATCTTTGCATCAATCCCTTCATGTCCCACCACAAAGTGACACTCTAAGGTGTTCAAATACTGCTATCTTCAAAGCACATTAGCATCTCAAAGCCAGGTTTATGTCTCTGAAATCAGCTCTTCCAATTTCAGCAACTCTAATGGAACACTTATGTAAATGTTCAGCCAAAGAATGCGCCTGAAGTTAGGACCTGCCCCACAGACTCCGTTGGTTTGTAGCATACTGCCCCCATTTTGGCTAAATGAGTTTGCAGGTTTGGGATGTCTGTTCTGAATTTATTTTTCTTGAGAAAATAAGATTGCTAAGAGAATGTCTGCAGTTTGTAAAATGCAGTCACAGCCATGCTGTCATTTTAACTTGCAAGTTCTTGCAAATAGTGTAACATCTCTGTGCATTTGAATGTGAAGTCCCCATCTCTAAACCAAAAGAATCTCAACTGGGACTTGAAAAACACTAGCTGTAAGCTAGAAAGTAAAGCATATTTGGAAATGTAGTACTGTGCTTCTCCTTCCTTAATGCATTTCATTTTCTAACAGCGAGAGCTGAGACGCAGCAGATGCCAGCTTGTCCTAAGTTTCCTGCACAGACTTGTGCTCCATGGCTGAGACCTGCTGTGTGCCAAATTAAAACACAGCATCCTCAAAATTAAACTTTGACAACTGTGAATGGGGGTCTGTTTTGGTCTTTGCTCCTCTGGATATCCACACTTAGATGTGCTTTGGATCAGACTTTTCTTGGTAATCTGTGTTTCCCTCCTATTTCCCAAGCACCTTATTTGAAAAGCCCTCCCTGGATTCCACTGAAGAAGGATTAGAAAGCATGATAAGGCACAGCATCTAAAATAACACAATCTGCAGAGAGATTAGGAATCAAAGAAATTAAATTGTCAGTAATCTCAAAATCTTACTTTCTTTCCTGTGGCCCCAAAGAATTTTATAACTAAAAGTCTCCTATGAAAAGGTTGTGTGTTGTTTTCCTATAGCAGCACAGCAGTAAGTTAGGGCGTAGGGTGCTGTGTTTCATCTACCCCCATTCAAATTGGCAAAACTTGTCTGACTAAAGTTGGCTCTTCTCTTGATGCCTGTGTAAATCACATGAAACTGTACCCATTTGTCTTTATATGTCAGGGAAAAAGCAGGAAGCTATAATAACTGACTGACACATAAGAAGTGACTCCCCTTATTTCAGTATTTAAGGATAAAAGGTTAACCAGTGGTCTAGCTATGCAACCTACAAAAAGCCTTCCTCTCTGACTGATAAATGGGTTTGCTGGTTGGAAACACACCTCTCTACAGCAGGCTGATGAGCCAGCCTGGCCTATTCAGCTAGACTTATGACTGCAGTTTGAATGCTACACCTACTTAGATTTTTATTTCCTGGTGGGTAATCCTCATTCAAAATATGGAAGAGTCTGAGTAGTTGCTTCAAGAGCAGTTATCTGGACATAGATCATTTAAATGCTGGTATGTGAAGTTGTTTCTTTAGCTCTTTGGAATAAAGTCTAGTTAGTACGCTGCTTCGTGCCACCCTGCAGAATAGGCACCTCACAAACACCCCAGGACCATTCTCTGGTGCTGTGTCAATAACCCAGAATTCACAAGGCTTTAATAAAAGAAACTGAAAGGGAGGAGCACAGAGGTGATGGATGAATACCTCAAGGGATCCAGTTGACAGCAGAAGTGCCACATTTCTAGGAACAGCAAATATGTATTCCAGCCGCACATGGGAGTAGCAAGTTTTCACAAGTATTGTGTAAGAAAAGAAGAGGAGGAAGCCAATCTTGTACCCCTTGAAATTAAGATTAAAGACAGTCTGAATGAAGCAGCTTGTGGGAGCCTACATAGAACAGTGCTATGTAAAAAAAAGTATCCAGAAGCAGTCAAATGATCTATTTATTAACGTGCATGTTGGCACTAGCTGAAGTGCTATATTGTGAATGTTCTGTAATTTGTAATAACAGGAGAAGAAAAAACCTCAGAAGCCAACTCTCAGCTCTGCTGTTTCTATGTTCTTATATATAATGCTATAGAAATTTGGTCCCTTTTTTATTTATAACAAGCATTAAGTGAAGAGCCTTGAATAAAAAGTGAGGGAATAATAGGAGAACCATTGCCATCATAAAAAATTAAAAGGGGAAGAGCTCAGAATAGATGAGCAAGCAGTTTTTTTAATAAAAGAAGGACCAGAGGTACCTTTTTTTGGAATATCTGTTGAGCTGCTCTTCACAGTGAGTTAGTGGTGCAAGTCTGTCACCCCTTGGTGAAAAAGAAAACTTGATAAATCTTCTGTTACATAACAGCATATTTGCCTTTCTATTACATTATCTGCCCACATTGACCCACATAAACTGGGTCTCCTTTTGTTCCCTGTTCAACTGAAGTGTGATACATTCAGCTTACACTAATTTCCAAACTGCCGTAAGTAGGAAGAAGATAGGTCTTTGACAATAACATGCAATCTCCAGCAACCCCAGAAAATACATTGAAAACCCAAAGCCAAGGACCTTTCAAATGACCAGGCGCAGAGAATCTGAGAGCATACATTCTGATCTCAAACACCTCTCCAGCAAAAATCTTTGAGGAAAAGAAAATGCTGAACTGTAAATACAGCTTCTGCAAACAACTGCTGCGATCAGACAAATGTGCTTCAGCAAAGGATGATTAAAATCTACAATTATTGTTTAACTAAAGTAATTACTTCATTAGCTTGGAGAATAAAGGGCCTGCCATCTAAGAAAGAGCCGCTATTTACAAAAGGTGTTTCTTTCTAATCCTTCTTTACATTAACTAAAAATTTTGATGTATTTTGCTTTTTAGAAGGTTTAATTTTGTATAGCCTGGTGCTTTATAAAGAAATGAGAGAAAGAAAGAAAACCTATTAAGCAAAAAAAAAATAAGCCCAACAACACTACTCTCATCTCCCAGGCTCTAAGTGAAGCAGGGCTCTCCCCCTCTGTCTTATTTGACCTGGGCCTCCACCCACAGGCCCCTCCTTGCTGGCTCAGGAGCACCATATAATCTCAGTCCTGCAGGCAGCTCAATTTTGTAGCTTTGCTTTTGATGTAGGTTTTACTGTATGGGGGAAAATCATTAGTCCTGTTTTTGAGTTGTTGCTTTGCGTTAACGCTTGCTGAGCTGTGGCTGGATCTTCTCTAGTATTATGGATCTGTATTCTGCTGAGGCTCTTATTTTTGTGTGCATTGCAGTTAATTATTTTTTATCTCTTGCTTGGTGCTGCTCTTGTAGTTCTATGGGATTCTGAAAGACAATGGAGACTTTCTGTAGTGGAAATTGCTTTATTTGAGGTGGAGAGCTGTGTTGCTAACCCATGTAAGTTAACTTGTAAAAACTTTCCAGATGATCTGTCCTTCTCTTTGTCTTTTTTTTCTCTTAGTGCTAGTCCATAAAATAACCAGAGCAGTGAGTTTCATCTGGCCAAGACTTGCTAATCCATTATTCTGTGTATGTAAATGGAGCCCTTCTGCTAAATGTACAGTTGTCATCTTTTCACACCAGCTCATAGATTTTGTGTTCTGCTGTACTGTTAATTTTGCTGTGTTGCCTGATTAATTAAACCAAATACTGTATCCCTTTGCTGTTATTTATTTTAGGGCTTGGATTCTGTTTGAAACCAGAGCTAAAATACCTAGATTTTATTTTCAGCTCCATTGTTTAGGCTTCTTGAATTCAGGAGGACTATTTTTTCTGTATGCCTCTTTTCCCCCCTCATCTGTCCAGTTGCTGAATATAATGAATGCTTGAGAGAAAGGAAGCTTCCCCTGCCCTGTATAGCACTTGATGTATTAGCTGTTTGAGCATTCTTAATACATCTTCTGTGGAGACCTTGCTACAGCTTGAAAGCAAGAAGGCTCAAATAATTAAAATAAGGCATTACAACACTAGTGAGACTTGAGGTTTTGAGGTCGAAAGCTAGTATGGGACTTGACTATGCTCATGAGATCTCCTAATCACTTTCCCAGATTCTGGGGTGGGGTGAAATGGTATATTCATATTCAGGCACTCACTCAAGCTTTACATTTGTCTTTCAATAAAGGCTGAATTTCAGAGCCTTCCACAACATGCAATTACAGAAAAACAGAACTGAGAGGAATCTCTTGAGGTGATATGTTCAAAGGCAATATCAGTAAGATTTAACACTCCTCGCATGTTTTTCTAATCTCTCTTTAAAAATCTCCAGTGGATAGAGATCCAACAGATTAAGTATTACTCCCTGGATACTGTATTCTGCTTTTTCATTAGGAAATGATTCCTGAAGTTTTTATCTTTGCAAGTTTTAGCTTCTTCTCTAATTAATATTTCACTGTTGGCTTCTCAGTGTTTGGCAAGAAAGGGGCTGAGATGGTTGTCTCTGCCTCATGACTTCTCTAATAACTAGGAGAGTGACTCATGCACATATTTGTGTATTTTGTTAGTCATGTTCTTCTGCAGTAAACTAGAGCTTTAACAGTAATGATGCCTGAAGTTGAAAAAGTAGCTTTTTAAGCTCTTCCATGAAGAAGGAGCTGGCCCCTATGATGCCTGTAGTTGATGAATTACTTTGTGAGGTGTGATGGATGTGTGCTGGACTACTGGCCTTCAACACAGTTGCCTTCTGACTGAGGCAGTACTTTGATGGCTTCCTAAGCAAGCTATGCATCTGTTTGTGTACATGAGTCATCTTGCTCTCTTCAGTAGTTCTTGCACTACACTACTGCTCTGTAGCAGAAGCTCCATGGAGGCAGAGGAAGAGCTGCTTTCCCAGTTAATGTGAGCTGTTCATTATTTGCCCCTGCTTTCCTTTCTTCCTGATAGCTTTTCTGGTTGTAGTTTTTCTCTAGCCCATTACTACCTAAGAAGACCCCGTGACTTCATCACACACATTTTTTTTCCTCTGTGGACTTTAACAAATAAGTCTTCATCAAGTTTTTGTTGCTTCCTCTTAGATAACAAAGTGCAAGTCCCTAGTTGTTGTGATTATTAGTATACTCCTGAAGAAAATTGCAACAGTCTACATTAAAGGGCTCTCTGCAGAAATTTACACAGTAGGTAACCAATTTCTCTTTAAGTAAAAGGCACTTGGAACAGTCAGGAGCATAAAATGAGAGAAGGGAGAGGGAACAAACAGGATTTTGAGGAACAGCAGGATGATTTGCAGTGGTCAGGAATATAGTCATGTTGGATTATTTGGGTAATTAATCGTCAACAGCAAATTGGAGCAAATTGTGATACAGTGCCATGGTTGTATAGCACGCTGGAGGGAGAGTTGGAGTCCTTTTTTTAATCTGGGTGTTACCCAGTATAGAATAATACTAGTCTTGGGTTTGACTGTTCTGCCAGCAGGTTAAGGAAAGGTGATTTATAATCTACTCCCGTTACTACTGCTGTTTTGTGTGGCTGTATCAGGTAGAGCAAACATTTCCTATTCTGCTAGCCTTCCTTTCATGAGGGTGTCTAGAGTAGCTTCAAAAGATAATGGTGATGACTGGTTAGACCCTGAACTCTTTCTGATCCCTGATAGACAAAAAGCTTCATTATGTAATAGATACATTTCTGAATTTTGAGGGGGAAGGATTTAATAGGCAACTTGCAGAACTGTCTATTACTGTGCATGCTTGTTATCTATCCATCTAATGCATTTATAATGCACTAGTATTAGGGTACTATAATATCAAGCCCTTGTTTCACAGGGAAGTGCAGTCTCTTGTGTGTTCCCAGCAGAGGGCTGTTACTTATCTGATTTGCATCACAGTATTATCTGGCGGATACCCTAACAAAGACAAGAGTGGTGTGTATTAGAGGTAAGGTACAAGAAACTATGTAGACAGTCTTAGGGGAGGATACTTGAGAATAAGCTTCTAACTTCGTAACAGTGAGTTACTGATCATGAACATGAAGTTTATTACAGTCTATACAAGATTCTTGTGTTTAACCATTTGTTATATCTGAATGCTTTTAGTGGGACTGTTTTCACAGCTCCATCAGGGAGATCGCTTTCAAGATGAAGGTAGCCTGATGTGGTTTACTGTGAACCAACTTGCTTTCTCATGCTTTAATGCCAGAGCAGTTTCAGTGGTCTCATACTGGTCAGTTGCCAGAGATGAGATGCTGAAAAGCAGAGAAAAATCTTGCAGCAGTCTATAAAAATGCTGTTTGCAAAGGGAGTTAAACCTGTTCTGCAGTGATGGTTGCTTTTCTGTTCATAGCCATTATGTTTAAAAAGTTGCTAGGCAGCACAAAGATAAAGCACTTGGCATAATGCTTTTAGCAAATCTATGATTTTATGGTAAACCATATGGAACTGGTTCTAGTCATTGCTTTCTCTACACCTAGGTGTGCTATAGTAAGAGATTGAGAATCATTGTGGTGAAGCATAAAAGCCAAGACAATAGTGAACTTTTCTGCTAAGTATGGTTTTATCATTCAGCTTTCTTTGCTGGCTCGTTGCAACAGGAACATATTTATCTCCAACCAGTAATGGAGATAAGGAAAGCAGAAGGTAGCTCTAATGAAGAAAAAATTCTTTACAGGATTCATTTAAACTTAATTATGACAATTTCATTTTGTCAGTGAAATTATTATTGCTCACTGTTATGCTATCTGTAAGATAGCAATGTAGATTAGACTTCTTGTTAGATAATGGGTTTAATGAAACAGATTGTCCAGTTGGTAAAGCAAATGAAGACAATAACATAACCTTTTGGGGTTAATGTTCCACCTGGAGCAGGCCCAGATTCTGTATGATGGCTTCAGAGCACCAGGGTAGCAAAAAGCAAATAACTATTCTACCAATGTTTCATCTGCAGATGGACTCAGCTTTGGGTAGATATGTAGTCAGATAGAAGCAGTTGCAGACAAAGTGGAGAAAGGATGAAAAATAGACTATTAACCCAGGGTTGCTGAGGATTTTAGAGCTGGTGACATAAAGTACAGGGTTGTCAAGTCTGAGCTCTTTGCTGTCTTCAGATTCTTGGTCATCTGGTAAGAAAAGTGATATTCTGAAGCTGATTTCCAGTATGAATGATGGTTAAATTCAGAACTCACCTTTTGTGCACATGCTTCCTAAAGTGCTTGAACAGCCTAGAAAAAGGTTTCATTAAAGTGCTTTAGTTTTTATTCTCTTCTATCTAAACAAACCCTTGTAAATGCAGTGTCTGTTCTCCTGTCTCACTTTATCAAACTGTATTAACTGAATCAAACTAGAAAAATCAAGGGAAAGTCCAACTTTCAGACTTTATTAGCAGGTGAAAAGGAAGGGGAGAG